CATCATTATTACTAACTGTTGTGATGGGCATAGCATGGGTTGGTAATGTCCTCTTCTTTAGGAAAGAGCTTCTCTTCATTGCATACATCATGACAGTCTTCATTGCTGCTCAAGGAATTATTATATTTATACTTTATGTCCTGTTGTCCAAACAAGTAAAGGAAGGAAATGTTTGTTATTGCAGTTAGAAATGTTAATTCATTTAAAGGTGAGGGCAGTATACTCTAAATGGTGGAAGGACAAAAAAGCTAATTCTCAGTTTTTTAGCATTTTTACATCAAAAGCATTATTTCCTTTTCGCTCAGCAGATCAAGTATGTATGATACAACAAAGGAGTATTTATCATTACCGTACTACCAATATAATGGACTCTTGATGCTACCTATTTCTAATAGGCTAAAGACTTTGGAACTCATTCAAATAGCAATCATAACGAGGCATCTCTTAATGAGAAATGTGATGGTCAGTTACTAGCAAAAAATCAGTGAATACTTTTAAAATTACCATAGGCTACAGCCTTTTTTTTCCAAAAATGGCTTTAAAATCACCCAAAATTTATTATTACAATTAAAAAAATACATATCAAAGTCCTTATGCTATGTACAAAGTTTGAGCTAATTCCGACAAAATATTTTTGGGTTATGAGCATTTTTAATAACTAGCCAGTTTTTTTAAGCAAAGGTTTTTCCAAAAAATGACTCTGAAATCGCCCCCAATTTTTATATTATTATTTGATACTTTTATTATGTAGAAGTCAATAACAAGGAGATGGAGAATCACTGTGAAGATGAATACCCATCTCCCATTGTTATGCAAGATTCCACTCTTGCTAATTTAAATGAGGAAAATGAGGAGACTGACTCTGATGATTAAATATAATTTTTGTCATGTTTAAAGGTTTTTATGTCTATATTTTGCACAATAGTTATAACATTTTCATGTTATTTGAACTACTATGTTTTCTGATTACTCTAATTGAGTCATTTATAACTAGATCATACAAACATGCTGTAGATTCTACCACAAAAATGTACTTTGCTTGTATCATTGTATGCAACAGTGTCACGCCTACCATCAGCACACAGGCTCATCAGTGATGCTGCTCTTGAAGCTGCTCCCTGTGGTTCTGTTTCTCTTCGTTACTTATTCTACTGCCACATATCCTGTCTTGTAAGTAATTGTCTTACACATATCTCCACATAAGTATTTACTTTTCTGACTTCAGTACAGCCTCCTTTGAGGCAATTCTAGCACAATGTGATGGACGTAACAACAAATACAATATATATGTGGGATACAAGACACCACAAGATACTAATCTCACTCAGTGGTACTTAGCCTATAGAAGAGAGTCAAGTCAGTATATATCTGTGATTGTGAATAAATATATTTTAAATGTATGTTTAGATTTTTGTAGCCCGGCAATCATCAGCTTGCAACTTCCAATTAATAGTTCAGTTCAGTACATTATCAGGCTCAATGATACACCAGACCCCAAGGCTGATACATCATGCTCTATTGAGACGAGTAATTGTTTTGAACTCCAATATAAAGGCAAAACTAAGTATGACAATTAGTATAAAATGTAGTTATTGCATATTTTTTAAATTAGAAATGAAAGCATTTGTCCTGACACTGCCAACACTTATGCTACAAGAATTATCAGAGTCAGTTCACTTTCTGATGATGAGACAAACCCAGATTGTACAATGATTGATAATGAACTCTGCTCAAGAATGTATGATATTGAGGGGACCGATGTAAGTGTGTCATTAAATGAGGCACCAACGACTGGGTCAAATAATGATAACAAGTAAAATAATTTCGCTATCTCTACTTACTATTTTATGATTGTCTTAGAGTACAAATTGGTTTTGATATTCAAATGGATAATTGTACTCGACCCCTTCCTATTAATTCTGCTCCTAATCCTGTCCTCCTCTCTATGATTACTGATCAAAATGAAACAATTCATTTAGCTTATTATGCACCAGTTGCTAACAACAATTGGACAAATTTCAACAGTACGAATTCATCACTCAATGGAATACCTGTTTATTCTTCTGATTCTCCCAGAGTGCATGTATTTAATTTTCGTGTTACTAACAGTAATCAAGTTAAAGGAATTTTGTTGATATGGACACAATACAATTACACAACTAATACTGACACTTGGAGCTTTAGACAGACAGTAACCCTGAAGTATAAGAATATTGAAAGGCAAAACAATTCTTACTATAATATTAATGGCAATGGTGATACTAGCAGTGGTAGGACTGTAATAAATGGTGGGGATGGCTCTTCTCCTCGTTGGATCAGTGTATGTTTTACAAGATCCAATGGCATTTGTCCAAGTTTCTCTCTTCCAATTAATCCAGCTTCATCATATCCTCAACCAAGCTCTACTGATGCTCCTGATGATGCTCTAACTAGCAGCTCTATAAGTGAAATGACTACTTTGTTTACTGATGTAACAAGTTCAACGAGTTTGATGAGTTCATTTGGTTCCTCTCCTGTTGGTATTGCTAGCTCTTTTCTTAATGTCAGTTCTTCTTCTGGTATTGTCAGCGATACTTTTAGTTCCTCTCCTGATATTTCCAGTTCTTTTGATATTTTCAGTTCTTCATCATTTAATTTTTTTAGCTCATCTGCCATTTTCAGTTCTTCCCCTGACATTGTCATTACCAGTTCATTTCCTAGTATCACAAGTGATATACCTGATATTATCAGCACTTCTAATATTTTGAGTTCTTCATCATTTGATATTTTTAGCTCTTCTGCTATTTTCAGTTCTTCCCCTGACATTGTCATTACCAGTTCATTTCCTAGTATCACAAGTGATATACCTGATATTATCAGCACTTCTAATATTTTGAGTTCTTCATCATTTGATATTTTTAGCTCTTCTGCTATTTTCAGTTCTTCCCCTGATATTGCAATTACTAGTTCTTTTCCTAGTATCACAAGTGATATACCTGATATTATCAGCACTTCTAATATTTTCAGTTCTTCATCATTTGATATTTTTTATTTTTTTAGCTCTTCTGATATTTTTGATTCTTCGTCAGTTGATATTTTTGATTTTGACTCTTCTTCTCTCGATATTTTTAGCTCTACTCCTGATATTCTCTTACCTTTCACTGGCTCATTCATGGTAACACATCGTTCACCAAAGCGGTCCACAATGTTCCAAACCCATTCACCTGATGAAACAACATCTAACCCTCCTATTCCTGCCGAGACCACTATTCCTGATATAACTAGGTCTTTCATTATTCCTCTCTCTAATACCAACTCTCCTCTCACTACCACTGGATCCCATTTTACCATTACTAGTTCTTCTGTGCCTGCAAGTTCCAGCCTCTCTTCTAGTTCTCCTTTTCCTACCAGATCTCTTCATATTAGTTCTTCTCTACTCACTAGTTCTCCCCTACCTGCAAGTTCCAGTCTTTCTCCTTTTCCTATCAGTTCTTCTCCTTCTATCAGTTCTTCCGCTCTCCCTATCACTTCTTCTCTTCCTATCAGTTCTTCTGTGATCAGTTTCCCTTTCTCTACTATGTTTTCTCTTCCAACTGTTACTCTATTACCTAGCTATGACATTAAAAGGACTTCTCTTAGTGGTTTTAGTTCTTCATCCAGTACCATATCTATTGACAGTCAGCTCAGTCTGTCTTCACTATTACCTTTTAGTACACAAGTCAGCATAAGCTCTCCTGTATCTAGTCCATACATGTCTTCACTCTTGCTTTCATCACTATCTCCTATTTCAACCAGTACTTTTAGTGTGCCTACTCTTAGTACTGGTTCTTCTGATCCTTTAAGCACTTCTATTGTGCATATTTCTACTACTGATGCTTCTGAACTTTTTATTCTAACCAGTACTCCTGTTACTGACCCTCCTGATCCATCTATTCTAACCAGTGCTCCTATTACTTCAACCGGTACTTCTACTTCAATCAGTACTTTCACTTCAACTAGTACTTCTACTTCAACTAGTACTTCGACTCCAATCAGTACTTTTACTTCAACTGCCACTTTTACTTCAATCAGTACTTCTACTTCAACTAGTTATTCCACTTCAACTAGTACTTCCACTTCAGCTAGTACTTCTACTCCAATCAGTACTTTTACTTCAACTGCTACTTTTACTTCAATAGCTACTTCTATTCCAATCAGTAGTTCTACTAGTTCTCCTAAGCCGTCATGTACACCTATTGATGTATGGCCTGAGACACAGGCTGGAGAGATTGCTAGAGGAACATGTAAAAAAGGAATATTTAATGGTATGTCTAATATAGTAACTACATTGAATACATTGCTTGCTTTATTAGCTACAAGACGTTGCAGAGATGATGGTACATGGAGTATGATGATCAATTGTAGTTCTTCTGAATCCTTTGATAGAATATCTAATGAAGTAAGACAATAAATTATGACACATAAAAGTTATGAGCATTTTGATAAAACCTGGCTTCAAAAAATAGTTCTTTACCATTTCAATACTAAGTGTTGAGTATTAGCCCAAAAACTGTGGACATACTGTAATTAAGAGTCAATATTCTCATAGGCTATAAATAATTCTGCACGTGCTCTTAACTCATTAAATGGTACATTGACTAATATTAGTGTTAATGAAGCAGCTGTTCTTCTGAATTTGATATCAACCTTTTTACAAAACTTTACAAAAGCCCAGGCAGGGGTAAGCAATTTAAGATAGCAGCACTGTTTTTGACTTTATATTGTTATGTTATGTTAAAGACAGCTTTAGGTATTGTTGGTGGAATATTTGATGCAATTAGAACTGATGGGCAACAGGTATGTCCTT